AAAAAAAAAAAAAAAAAAAAAAAAAAAAAAAAAAAAAAAAAAAAAAAAAACAGAGCGGCTCTCCCGGATGAGAGGGTCCCAACCCCAGACAAGGCAGGCCAGAGGACTGCACCCCCCAGCATGGAAGAGGGATCTCCCCAAAGCCCAGGTGGGCCCACTGAGTCAAGAACCAGGTCAAGCTGGTCACCACCCCAGCTCCCTGGGAAGGAGGCAGAATCAACCCCTCTGCCAGCCGTGAGGAGAGCACTGGAACAGAAGGGAGTGGCCTTGCAAGGTGCCCAGAATGACCCGCCCATCCACCTGCCCACACACGTGAGCTGTGGACCCATTAGGTGACACAGAACAAGAAGCATGCATGTGTCAGACACCACACCCAGCCCACAGACACCACCCGCATCCCACAGCAATGAGCCTTCAAGGCAGGACAGACATGGGAGAACATCTGTCCCAGCCACGTGGTCAGTGGGAGCTGGAGGCAGGGCAGGGAGGCCCTGGGATGCTGGCAGCCCAGGTGTATAGTGTCACTTCCAATTCCCCCCAAGGCCTAGTGCTCACCCCTGCCCAGGGCACCTAGTGGAACTGGGGCAACCATGCAGTGCAGCTGCAACAGAACCAAATCATCCAAGCAGCAGCCCCTGCAGGAAACAGCCAAAGGTGACTCAGGACAGAACCATACTCTTGCTCCGGTCCAAGGGACACCTGGGGAAACTGACCCCACTGAGCTCCCACCCCTGCCCTGCCTCACTGCAGCCCATCAGGTGTGAAGGCCATACGGCCCCTGTCGTGGCAGGAACCAGCACAGACACTATCAGGTGCAGTGTAGCTCTAACTGTATGGCCAGCAGGTGGATCAGCTGATCTGCATTAGGCACCAATGCTGAGCACCTCTTCTGACCACTTCTGCTACCCTGGGCCTCCCTGAGCTTGGGTGTCAGAGTGGAGGAAGACGCAGCAACTTTGATCTTTAAGGGTCAAAGTTCTTGTTTTTTACATGTATATACGTGAGTTCAGAAAACATACTCATACTGGCAGAAAGAATGGAAGGACACACACCAAGTTAACGGCGGCTACTTCTGGAAACTGGTTGGTAGACAGAATAGAAAACATCTGTTGAATAAACTGACCAAAAACCAGCTGCCAACCTGTCCACACACTGCGCTTTTCAGAGGGAAGAACACGGAGAAAAATGTAGTGTCTGTTGTGAGGTCCTGTCACCCCTGAGACCATGTCCTTCACCAGGTTAAAGAGCTTTGCTGAGTGTGGCACACGCAAGAGACGAGCCTTCAGGAGCATCTTTTTCTTGGTTCCCTAACAGGTGGTGCCTGCCTAGGGCAGCACCACAGCCATGCCCGCCTCACCTGCCAGGACCTACCTGCCCGTCAGAGTCATAGCTCCAGTTAGTGGTACCCGCCAGAGCCATGGCCCGGGCATCCGCATCTCGGCGGGCCGCGCTCAGGACAAAATGCCAGGCCCTGCTGCTCCGGGGGCGTCTGGTCATGGTGAAGAGGATCTGGAAGAAAACAGAGGTTCTGAGCAAAGGAAGACATGCAGCAGCTGAGAATGTGTCCCTGCAACACCCACCCCATCCCCCGCACCCTGCACTTCCCCACTGCTCCACGGGCTGGACCACAGACCCACCCCGAGGTGGAAGCTGCACGAGCCACACGGATGCGGAACCAGGGCTCCGTGATCTCCACAGGCCGTACCTCACTCCAACACCTGAGCACCTTGAGAAGACCTAGGCAGATCGCGTAAAACGCCGCCAGACATCCATGACCCCCGAATGCCTGCCAGCCCATCTCTGGAGCTTCCCTCAGGAGGCTGGCTGCCCCGCCGACACGCGCCTCAAGAAACGTCCACTCCCTCCGCCCCTGTCGTCCACTCTGACAAATGGCATCTCCGGCCTTCGCTTCCTCATGTTAGAAACACGGCAGCCACCCCCGACGCCGCCCTCCTCCTTCCTCCCCGGGCTCCCGCACAGCCCGTCCCCCGCGCTCCTGCGTCCCTCGCGACAGCCAAGCGCTCGCTGTAAACGCTGATCTTAGAGCGCGAACGTCCAGGGCTCGCCATTGTTCTCCGGCCAAAACGCCCTCCGGCCCAGCCAGCACCTCTGACCCAACGCCGGCGCTCCCCGCGCTCCCGGTCGGCCCCCAGGCGACCACGTGGGCGGCACACAGCAGGCCACGCCATGCACCCGAGCCAGGCTGTTGCTGCTATGGAGCCGGCGACCCCCGCCCGGAGCCCGCAGCAGGGGACGCCCGCGCCCGGAGAACAAAGGGCAGCGGGACTGCCCGCGCCCAAGGTCAGTGCCCGCGGCCCGTCCCCCGCCTCTCACCCGCCGCCGCCG